TGAGATGGATCTGTCTGAGGAGATAAAACGTTTCAGCTTGTTTGAGAGCAGATGAGACTTCTAATCACATTCTTTATAACTGTCAGATTTTGTTACAGATAGGAGAAGATTAATGAATTGAAAGATATTACTCTAATCTGAGATTAGTTTGTTCTCAACTACTATTATTTTGATTTCATTCACGGTCTGAAGGTTCTTCTATTCAGTTACTGTAGGTTAACACAAAAAATCAGTCATAGTTACAGTACTCCGCTCCTCTGTAAGCTATGCAATGGTCTACATAATGTGTTGTAAGTAGAAAAAAATATTTTTGAATGAGTTTAGATCAGGCTAAAAATAATATTGGATGTCAAAGGAAACATCAATTTTTGATAGATTGAAAATCGGAATATATATAATTTGTATAGTTCAGTTTAAAAATATTATTGGGTTTCAAAAGAAATAATAATTTTTGCATGGATCGTTGATTAGGATGGGAAACACATGATTATAATAATTTGATTCAAAACTGTTATTAAATTTCAAAATAGATAATTTTTACATGGATTGACGGAAAAATGAGACGGAAAAGTTAACAATTCAAAAGAGATAATAATTTTTGCATGGATCGTTGATCAACATGGAAAAGACATGATTAGTATAATTTGGTTTAAAAATATTAAATTTCAAAATGGATAATTTTTACATGGATTAATAATCGGGTTTGGAACGACATGGTCTGTTGAGATTTGAAAGGAGACGGATTCATTAAGAATGTGATATTATTTTTGGTATATCACCTATAAATCTAAATACAATAACTTGAACCGATTTATAGGTATAAGGATAGGCATAGATTTTAACTAATTTTTAGTCGGTAATTAAAAGAACAAAATTAAAAATGCATTACTGTCCATCTACAATATCGCGTCGAGTACATTTTGTTCGCCACATATACCAAGTATAGTTTTTTTCCTACGCATGTGTATTTTTTTTTTTTGTGTGATAAAATTTAAATAAATTTAATTGTTTCGACTTGGAATAACACTATTACTGCTGTTATAAGTACTTCTGATGATGTTGGCAACACTTTTCGCGCCGCCATTTTCACTGCCATTGTGGTTGTAGGTTAAATTAGAAACCGGAAGCATAACTGTGCTTGCCGTGATTATTGGTGCCGTTGATGGTGTGTGCACCGTTGCTGTGGAACAATATGAATGACAAACACAATTAAGGTAATGTAGTGTTCGCGTACCCACACAAACACTCAAACACTCACACACTCAAACACTCAAACACATGTTTAAGCCATAATATTGTGTTTATGTTTTTCTACTTATAATTTGTTGTAAATTAAATGAGTTTTCACAAATTGAAACAGTAAATGTAATTAAAAAACTTTATTAAAATAATAAATTTGCATTTGACGTTAGCAACTGTTATGGTGGCTTATATGAATTCGCAGAATTTGTTGTTAAGTGCCCAAGGAAATTAAAAATAAAAAGGCTTTATTGTGCTAATGTTGCGTAGGTAGTTGTTGTTTTTTTAAGTTAATATTGTTTTTTAAAAATTATAAATACAATAAAAACTGTTCAAAGATAACTTAAGTTAACTTTTCATATTATATTACTTAACATAATTAAGGCTTTCATAACTATAGAATAATGGAAACATTAATTAAACAGAGTATGGAAAACACCTACTCACCTACAATAACAACAACAGAACCAATAATAACCCATACGGGTTTTATTAAGTTTTATTAATAAATAATAATTATTTTTATTATTAACTTATTATGGATTTTAATAATTTTCTTTAATTTCTCAAACCTCACTTTTATTGTTGCTTTGTTACTATTTTTAGTGTTATAACAGATCTCACAGATCGTAGTCCCAATGCGTGTTTGTATAAAAAGAATATTTAAATTGATGATGGGACCGAAATCTTTTTGTGGACTAGGATATAATACGCTCCTTTCTAACATAAAAATAAAGAAGAACCTGAATAAAAAGCATTACTGGGATAATATACCAGAATTTAACCAATCCAAATCACTTATTGGTACCTATAATAATAAGCGATACCAGGATGGTATGAACTTATCAAAAGAAAAACTTAGAATCAGCACAAGAATTCTTACTGTAGCGGCAATAAAACTCTGTAAAGTAGGTCTATACTACTTTTCATTGACGCAACAGGGCTTAAAGACCTACTCTAAGCCCAGAAAGTGGCACAATAAACCCGTTGGTCGCAGTGCCACATCCCCTAACAATAATAATAATAATAATAAAAGGATATTTATTATAATTATAATTTTTAAAGCTTTTACATGAAATCGCCCAACAACCCGTATTACGGCCAGAAGAGTTCATTGTATCAATTTCACTACACAAAGTCCTTTAAAGCTTTGTGAATAAAGTCCAGATCTAAATCTAGAGAAGAGCTCTTGATCTATTCTGGTGACAGAAATTCTATATGAAATAAATTTCTTCTGTGTGTTATTAAAGCTAGACAGTCACAAACAATATGCATAGTAGTTTCCTCATCTTCGAGGCATAATCTGCATTCCAAATGAGCAAATAATCGTAGTTTATAAAGCTGATATTTCAGACCATAATGACCTGTAATGAAACCCATTATCAAACTCAAATTACATTTTGAGAATTTAAGAATGTTTTTATAGGAGTACGGTGCTTTCCTTTGTCTTAGTCCTGAGAAGTCTGGGAAGTACAACGATACGGTTTCAAGGATATAGAAAATGGGCTCCTATTTGGAAATCATATCGTTTTTAATGCATTAACTAACGACTTCAACAAATACTTGAACTCCGTAGTATCTTTATGAGATATCTTCCGACCCGTCGTATCTCAAATTCACTCCTGAGGTGACTACAGGTTAATTGAACTGCAGCATAAATATATCAATATTTTTCAAATCTAGAATATGCAGATGTTATTATGCCATTGAAGGTACATTAATAGTTAACTTCGTAACTTAGGCAGCTATAAGTGGAGAATGTTAAAGAAAAATGAATCCCTTCACATCAAATTAATTTTAATATAAGTCCTTATGAATAAGAAAAGGATAGCCTTATGTGACGTTTGACATATCTAGTCAGTCCACTTAAATCGATTATGGCATTACCTAAACAATACAGACACATTTAATGTGCCACATTAACGCGGCATTTAATTATCAATCCAATGATAATAAACTAAAGTTACGATTTTATTTTATTTAATTTTTTTTTGTACTTTTATTTATGTTTTAATTATATTTCAATTTTTGTTTAATATTTGTTAGCAAACAATACAGAAACTAATTTTGTAATGCAAAGTTTATTTTGCTATATTCCAAAATAAATAAACAAAAGTATTTGTAAATATGCTAATTGAAATTTTATGCATAAATTAATATTAAAGTAAACAGCGTCTGATTTATATTAATTTTTTTTAAGTTTATCATAATCACACATTTTTAAGTATACACAAATTATAACAAAAAAATTTTAGTAATTTTAAAAATAATTAAATTGAAATTTTCACAACAAAAAAAAATTCATCTTTAGCTTTACTAAAGCTTCTATAATCTTTACTTAAATAATTTTGTTACAAATTAAATATCTACTATATACTTAAAATAATTTTTTCAAAATTTTTAATATATGTAAAATCCATTTTACATTAAAAAAAACCTATTTTCGGGAGTTCTGCCTAAAGAATAATTTTTTCCCTTATGCATTTGATGCACCTGAACTGACAATGAGCTCCTAGGTTTACTCACAAACTGAGAACTTTGTTTATAAAGACATATATATTAACAGATAAAAGCGCTGACAGATGCACAAAGAGAACTATTATTCTTTAATAGAAGGACCAATGATACACTGCTAACTATAAGATTATGCGAGGATTTTCTGATATAGTGGATGCATCAAAATCCCAACAAAATCAATTGCTTTCAAGTTGTCAAAGATATGACCTGGCATTTCTATAATGGAACAGAACTTCAAGGGTTTCAATCAGTCAAATTTTGAGCAGTAAGGAACAGAATTTACTATTGCACCAGTATATCTAACGCAAGTTTAATCCACAGTCCGGACACCCTCTAAAAACGTATCCAACGCTTGTTTTAACGGCAAAAAAGATTATGTTGTGTTAGCTGGAATTGAAGGAAATTATCTATTATAAGTTGCTCCAGTTTGGTGCAATAGTAAATTCTGTTCCTTACTGCTCAAAATTTGACTGATTAATGAAACAATCAAGGAAAACCCTTGAAGTTCTGTTTCGATCAAATAAATTATTATCACATTAGACCTCAATCAATTGAATGAATTCCGAATGAAAAACAAATAAAAACCGAATATAAACCGAATGGAGACACTCATTTCTCAAAAATCTCAGGACACAAGTAGATAAGATCAGTATAAATTCCACACTGAACTATATAGAATCTGTAGTTATCATTGGCATTAAGCCCCATATCTAAAAATTGGTGGTTGACAGGAATTTGTCCAATTAAACAACTACTGTTTAGTATTAAATTAAATCTATTCAAAGATTTAATTAGATTGGACTTGACAAAAGTACAATTTTTCTTGTTGACTCGAGTTGTACGAATTTTGAATTAACTAAAATCTTCGGGGAGTGTATAATTGATGTGTTGAAGTACAAATACAATCCGAGTATCGATATTAACAGCCCACTACTTTCTCATTAAGATATGATAGTCGATATATTTGTTATGATTCCTAATGTGATGTACTGATTGAATTTACTTGATCATTTGGTTTTTTACTATTATTAACCATCTTCAGCTTATAATCCCTTTTTTAATTTTCTCAAACCATAAATAGTATTAAAATTACAGATCGTAAATAAGATCGTTTAATGGGAATTTGATAGACAACGACTGGTACTGGGTTTTATAATATCAAAAGTTTACTATCAAAGTAATCATTGAAATCGACGAGAAAAATTTTGATATATTTTTAATTTAGTAGTTTTAGAATTTTTTTAATATAGTTTTTCAGTTAAGAATGTTGACGAAAATTGCACTTTTAACCAAAAATAATTTACGACAACAATTCCACCACATAAGATGGCTGGCTTTTCAATTCCTTATACCAATACTTCTGGTATTATTATTGATCTTCGCACGTATCAAATACAGAATTAAGAGAATAGATGAGAAAACTTTTGCACCCAATAATTTGGAAGGTATTTTAGAGTAAGTAAATAATAATAAAAAATATTTCATAAATTATAATAAGCAGTTAGATTAGATTCATAGATTATAATCCACAAAGCCAGTTATTTGTGAATTCTCTAAATCTCGTTAAAGAAAAATATTGATATTGCTGTATATCGTTCATTCCAAACTTATTTGATACTATATAATGTAGTTAATAAGTAATCTTCCTTAAGTAACTGCAAAATCAACGATATCATGTTAAATCACATAATTGATGACACATACTCCAAATCTGTGTTGTCTGTCATTCGATCGATTAAAAGTTAGTATTTTAGTAGAGTACTTCTTAATTATTATCAACTATAATGATTACTGAGAATATAAACAATCGGGGCAACAAAGGAACCCTGAAGCTTCTCTGTTTCTATCTGGTTGTCTGTTAAACTCCAACAAAAGTTTTTGCAGCAACAATTTTGAAGAGCTACACTTCATTCTTTTTGTTCAAATGAACGGTCTTGTAAAATTCGTAAATAGCCGCCTTTCAGGATTCTAATTTGATGTCAGTACGGACCTATTAGTTTTTTATGTGGTCTCTGCTAGCAAGCACCATCTTTCATTCCAACTGTTATCATACCTAACGATTCTTTAAATTTTACCCCAGTCAAACTTACCTTTTCTTCAACAGGAAGAGTACATGTATTTTGATAGAACTTGATAAAAGAGTTATCGTCTAAATTATTTTGTAGGTGTCCCAAATTTTATTATAGTGAATAACGTAGAAATTTCAAATTTTTATTACTGCGAACTTATCAATTTTTTCATGGTCTCGGACATGACATTACCAGTGATTTACTTAATAATCTGTCTTGATGCTTTCACGTATCAAGATAATGCGTTGATAGACGCCGCACTGACCTCCGTGGACTACCATTTACACTCCTAGCCATGTGGGGTGGTTCCAGGAGTTTAGTCACCTCTTACGACAGGTATATTTTACGTTGGGAATATTCTAACCGCTTTACCGCGAGAAGGAGGTGGGGGTTGGGTTGTCGTAGTCTCCGACTGCACGCACCACCAACCTAGCTGCGATTCGAACTACTACCACATCCAACGATTTCTTAATAAAATTCAGTTCGCCGAAATAGAGTATTATTTAGTTGCTCTCGCCATATTCTGCTTTTGCATGACCTAAAAATTTGGCCTAGAATCATTGACTTACAATAGATGGAGTACAAAATAATGAATAAAGTCAAATCTTCGAATAATATCTTTACTTTATAAGCGACCTACTATTGTTCTCCAATAAATCTCAGTATTAATAAGAAATACTCTATCAATAGATTGTAAAGTTTTTATGTTTATCGTACTGCGTTTTACTGTAGAGTGCTGGTAAGCATTTATGATCCATACCATATGACCTTATTTCATAGTTTTAATTAAGATATTCGATTGTAATATAATAGTAACTATGACCATTTTAAAGGCACTTCAATAAAACGTTAATAAAAAGGCACTTAATCACTTGCTACTACTGATTCTAAAATAGCATTTAAGACGTAAATCGCTACACATCCTATTCACACTTGACACTTACAACCCACTTATTGGGTGTTTGCATTTTCGGTTTGTTTAATTCTTGAGATACCATTTTATGACAACATAAAGTTTCGTTGGTCATCTTCACCTGTAAACTCCTGTAGTCTTATAATTCCACTTTTAGTTATATTAACTGCATAAATCAGTAAAGTGAACTGAAGACATATCCTAAAGGAAATTAAAAATGCTCTTTCATTGCAAGAGACTCCGTGCAGTTCGTACAGTTTGTTTGTAAACAATGTCGCAAAACTTACCCAAATCCATTATTTGGATTTGGAATCTCCGAGCAAATACCAGTCAAAAAAATGCACAAAAGAAAAGTTTGTCGTGCATAAAACTTAACATTTACAATGCAATAAATTTGGTTTATTTTTCGGAAAGAAAATCGTAAAATGTCCAAGAGTAGAAGAAAATCCTGAGACAGTTGCAAAGACCGCTCAACTCGGGGAGCAATTAAAATAATTCGGACAATGGTTAGAAACAAAGAAACTCTACAGCAACTGTGCAATTCTGGAAACAATGTGGGTTTGCTTTTTTTTTATAAAACAACACAGCTGTGGAGAGAACGGAAGATGTGAATGGTAAAAAATAAACAAATAAAATCTTTAAAAATATTTCTTAGAATGTTGTTGTTACTTAAAAATGGAAAAACTGAGAGAAAAACGGAGTTATAAGCGGAAACTTAAAGAAAAGTTCATGTAAATAAAACTCCTGAAAACTCTCAAAATGAAACTTTCACTTCTTATGATTTGGTTTAAGCAAAATTGTAAATAAAAAAATATATTTCAGACATAAACTCATAGATTGCAGTAGGTCTAATTAAAACGATCTGATTTCCAAGTTAATACCGGAGCACCTTCACACCTTCACTTGAGCTCACAGACAATATCCCGTCAAGAAATGTGTTCAGGATCGCCATAAGAGTGTCAATGGCAGATAAGAATGCGCTACGATATATCGTAATGCGGTAATCTTTTCAGTCCTCTAAGCAGTTCTTTATACATGAAACCGTACATGCAACCGTAGGTATGCAGTAAACGGCACCTATATAGTTATTGGCCAGATACTCAGAGTGTACGACTCGTTCTAATATAGCCAAGTTTCTATTCAGAATCACGAAGAATGGGGAATTAAGACGGACTTCAATTTTATCCTACTTTCATTTAAACTACCTTCTATTAGAAAAGTGTAGCTGCCAAAATTCAAAATAATAAATTTAATAATTATAAATAATTAAATAATTAAATTTCTTGCAAATAAAAATTCAATTTGAAACGAACGGATTAGCCACAGTTTTATAAAGGATGTTGATTTTTTCTTTCAAGCCACAAAAACTTTTAAAAACATTTTTGGACACAAAAATTATTATTGGACTTATCAACATCAACAATCTGCTTTGCAACATAAAAATAATCAAATGAAGCAACATTTTTATGGTTTTACAAACATTTTATGTTTGGAATGGTATTGCAAACAATTACAGACTTTGCAACATGTTTATTTTTGTTCCGCAACATTTCCGACATTCTGAAACGTTGCTTACTCGCCTACTCTTAGCAACATGTTTCTATATTCAATCAACCAACAATTCTTTTATTTCCCAATCTACACAGTTTGTATCTAAATTTCTAAATAATTTAGCAAAGTTATTCCTAGCATAAAAATTATGAATATATATATATGTATATATATATTCTTTTTTTTTTGCTAAGGTAATTTTGCTTAATTATTTAATGAGTTAAATACAAATTGTGAAATAAAAGAATTGCTGGTTGATTGAATATAGAAATATGCTGCTAAGTGTTAGCGACTTAGCCACATTTTAAAATGTTGCAGCTATTGTGGAATAGTGTGAAATATATATGTATACATATTCATATCTGATTTAAATAAACATTTAAATAATATTATTACTCTATTTATTTTTGTGCTCATATTTTTTTATTTTTTTCCAATAAAAACAAATTAAATAATATAAAATATGATGCAGTATACTTTTCACAAAGTAAATTATACTATAAATAAAAAATTAAATTAATTTTAATTTGAATGTAAAAATATTTACGAAATATATAATATATAAAAATGTGTAAAAGCATCTGCAAAAAATAAAATTAGTTAACATAAAAAAACTTCTTAGATTCATCAAAATTCATATTTTGTATTTTAAATTTAATTAAAATTTTATTTAAGTTAATTACATTGTTGTAATTTAAATGAAAAGAAAATTAACTAAATTTGAACCAAAAATAATTAAAAAAAATTCTTGTCAGAAGTGGGATTCGAACCCACGCCCTCAGAGAGGACCAGAACGCTCAGTCACCTTCATATGAAGGTAAGATTTTACTCTTGAGTCTGGCGCCTTAGACCGCTCGGCCATCCTGACATATGAGAAACGTATGGCAAATGCGAAATGAAAATTAAATATTTAACAATATATTAATTAATATAATTTAATTTAATAATTATATACATATAGATTAAAAAGAAAATTTAGAATAATTTTAATTAGAATTTAATTTTAAGAACAACATCCAAATAGAAAATAAATAATTAAATATATCAATAAAAATATGTTATTATTATATTATTATTATATTATGTTATATTATATTATATATATTATATTATATTATATTAACAATTTTTTTTCACTTAAATATTTAAGAGATATTTTAAAGTTAATATAACGAAAAATAATACGTTAAATTCAATTGCTTTCGTATTAATGAAACTATAACAAAATTTGTCATTCAATTTGTTCTTAATAAATTAATTTTGCAATTAAAACACAACTGAATAAAATTCTAATATGCAATAACAAATTTACTAATTCAAAAAAAAATTTACTAGTAGTAAAAAAAATTGATTATAAAAATTAATGTCAAATAAATAAATAAATTAAATAAGAACTTTACAAGCAAAATGGCATTTGCCAACGCAATGCAAATGCCTTTATTTTAATTAACAGTACATGTTTTACAGTAATCGCTAAAAAAAATACATTAAAACCTCAGTATATAAAAATCATTCAGTATTTTTCAGAGTTCGGAATGTGGTGCACAAAATCGCACACTGCACTGTGCGAGTGGAAATTATTTTTAAAATATGCACACGCACATTTGTGGTGTTAAGAAAAAAAATGCACGCACTCAAATTTGTTGTGCGATTTTAAATTTCACATCGCACAAAGCGATGATTGTGCACACAGATTCGTGCACACACATTTGTGCTGTGTGACTGATTTTTAAAAATGTGCACAATCAGATGTGCGAGAAAATTTTATGCTCGCACCGCACTGTGCGACAAAAAATTCTCTTTGCACACGAGTGTGCTGCTCATATTACGTTTGCACAAATGTGCACAAATGTGCGACTGCACAAACGTGCACAAATGTGCGATGCACAAACGTGCACAAATGTGCGATGCACAAACGTGCACAAATGTGCGATTTTGCGCTTGCACCCAAGGGTGGAAAAAATTACAGGAACTTCACAATTTTGTTTGAAATAGAAAATATTATTTTGTTGCAAATTTTGAAAAAATTGATATTTGCGTTCGTTGGGATCGTAATTTATGTTAAAAATTGCATAAATTAACAAATATTTAAAATAATTATTTTTGTTAATTAATGTAAACTAAAAATTATAACTGTCTTAACCTTATTTGTATTTTAACTTAAAATATTAGTTTTTTGTATATTACTTTGAGCATTTTTAAATGCAAATATAGTAAGTGAACTTAAAGTATTTGTTTGGAAAGTTTTGCACCAGTTTAAAAAAAATAAAAACATATTTTAGGAAGATTTTTTTATGCCCAAAAAATATGAAAGATTAGGAAAATATTTTTTTTGAACAGGTAGCAGGTATTGGTATTGGTGTATTTGTTTAATAAATTTTGCAACAGTTTAAAAAAGATAATACGGGAGGGCCACAAATAGGTATTTTTCTTCTCCAGAAATATGTATTCACTTAGGTAGAGTATCTAACATTCATTAAAAAACGCGAAAGATTAAGAAAATATTTTCTTGAACAGGTAGCAGGATTTTAGCGCCCTTTCTACTGTGCTAAGTAAGCAGAGATATAATTTAAGTGAAAAAATTATTTCAGCAATGTTATTAATAAGATTAAATGAAAATTTATTTCAAAAAATATGTAATAAAAATTATATATTTTTTAATAAGAAATTAAAATATTAAATTATTAAATTATTTCAATAACTTTGTAAAATTTAAACTGTAATTAAAGATAAAAAATTAAGTGAAATCTAATAACAAAATTAATTTATGTTGTTGTAAAAAATATTTTTATAACCTTACTAACGAATCTTAGTGTACAACTTACTATTAAATAAAATTTTATGAAGTAGTCCAAAATTGATATATTTAATTTTTTCAAAGTACGATCCGTAGAACCGATCTTTACTTATAACATTTCGAAACAAATACTCTTTCTCTATTAAATTCATGTACCTATTGAATATAACAAAGTTTTCAAGTACATTGTGAAATTAACTTTATTCCCATATTTTAAATTAATAAACCTTAAAAAAATAAGTAATATAAGCAATAAATGTAAATCTAATAATAAATTCAAAATTAAAATATAAATACAAAATTATTTCTTCAATAAAATATTTCGCATTAAGACCAAAATTAATACAAATCAGTTTTCCGTACTATTTTGCTGCGATATTTGTCATAATATTGTGCGCTTTTAAATCATCATTTCACACAAACGTGCAGTAGACATTTCGTCTCCGCACATTTGGGTGCATTTTTATTTTCGAGCCTGCACACAAAATGTGCTTCTCGTATTCTTTTCTGCACACGTTGTGTGCGAGGGCATGTTGGCTGCCGCACACACAATGTGCTGTGCGAAATAACTTCGGCACAAACACCGAATGCGTGTGCGAGTTTTATTTCACTCCACCACACTCGTGTGAAATGTGCGTTTCGTTTGTGCACACAAGATGTGCACTTAAGATGTGCACAAAAATTTTCGCACACCACATTTGTGGTGTGAAATTTTAGAATCGCACAACATTTGTGCGTGGTGTTTTGCATTTTTGTGCACAGCACAGTGTTTTTCTGAACCCTGGTATTTTTGTGCTTTTCTTGCCATCACTGTAAAAGCTTAGCTATTTGTGTGTAAAGCTTTCGTCAGTATTGTTTTTTTACATACAGCGCCACATTGTTATTGGTCAGATGTTTATGTTATTAATATAGGTAAAGCATGGTTGTTGATAAAAAATTTGTATAATTAAATATGGCAATTTCACTTTTCTTGTCATACCTCTACATATAAATTAGTTTCATATAAATGATTTAAATGATCATTTAAATCATTTCAATCTAATTAGACTGTAAAACTACTGATATAGAACTGTTTAGTTTCTATTACTCCATGATGACAATTCCAATAACCTCCCATATGGTCTAGTGGCTAGGATATCTGGCTTTCACCCAGAAGGCCCGGGTTCGATTCCCGGTATGGGAAATTTTTTTGTTAAATATTTATTTATTTCAAAAAACAAAAATTAAAAGCAATATCAATACATAAGAAGCATATTTAAGTTAAATGCTAGTTAAGACGTATGTTTAAAACGATTATATGATTTTTATATATAGATAAGATTATCTATAAGTGATGTGAAATGTAACATTTGCATTTTATTTAACAAAGCAATTTGTAAAACAAGACACGTGGAATGGCTTTTAAATAAAACAAATGTGTTATGAATATTGAAACTGAAGTTCTTATTTTATTTCATATAACATTAATTAATTTATAATATTCATAGATAATTAAATTCAGAGCCAACGCAAATTATTGTCCTTTTTTTTTGTTAAGACACATGCAACTTTGTAAAGCTACAACTTTTCAGTTAAAAAATTTTTAAACTAAAAAAAAAAGTAGACTTTGCTTAATATTATTATATTTATATCACTTGACAATTTTAATAATTAATAGTGATTTAATTATTTTAGGCTAATTTTAAAATTCATTGCTTTCCATGAAATGTTTTTCATAAATTCATTAATCACTTGCTATAAATAATTTAATATATTTTCGGTATATATTTAAACATCCACACAACTTTTAGTTAATTTTCGTCAAACGCAATTCATATGTCAGGATGGCCGAGCGGTCTAAGGCGCCAGACTCAAGAGTAAAATCTTACCTTCGTACGAAGGTGACTGAGCGTTCTGGTCCTCTCTGAGGGCGTGGGTTCGAATCCCACTTCTGACAAGAATTTTTTTAAAAAATTTATTATGATTTATTTTTTATTTTATTTTATTTAACAAAAAATTATCTTATTTGATTATCATATAATTTTTTTTAGTAAAATTTAAAGCATAAATAACATGTTTATTTTTGTGACGTCATAATTTTTGATACTATGAAGTGTAAGAAGTTGTTTGTGTTTTTTGTTGAAAACCAATAGATGTTAAGTTCCTGATTGTATAATTTAAAAGTAATGAACATTAAATGTACCCAGGATGTTCATGTCACTATTGACACTATTGATATGGCCATACGGCCATATTTATTGCAAAAAATAGTCAAAAAGTGGACTAATCGAATGGATTATTTAATCTATAGCCGCGGCGGATATATGACGGAAATCATATTCAAAATATATATGTCATGAATATATCTATCAGATTATAATAAAAAAAATTTCACGCTAACAATATGCATTTGTTGTATTATCATTTTAAGTTCTTTTGCAGCTTAAAAAGCACCGGTTATAAGGTGGGTATCTCTAGTATCTCTGGGTAACTCTTACTTTAAAGCATATTTGTACTATGTTTGGCATATATAGAAATATTCAATATAGTTTAAGATTTAATATTGTACAATATTTTCATTTAAATATCTTCATTTCTCTTACAGATATTATGATGGTCGTAATTTAACATTTAATTTGGCATTTTCACCGTCCAATGAAATATTGAAAGACATCCTAATAGATGGAGCTAAAAAGGAGGAGGAAAATACAAAAGTAATATTAACATTTTACAATCTTCCAAAATCTCACCCCATGATTTATGGATATGAAAACGCTAATGCATTAGAAACGGCGCTTGAAAAAGATCTATATTTTGCTGGAATAGAATTTGAGGATTCATATGCCGGTATTACCGAATTACCGGATAAAATTCACTTTACATTGCGTTTTCCCAGTGAATTGCGCACGCAGCCTAATCACGCGACTTGGCAAACGGACAGTCTAGAGAATATCGTTGGCGCGTTTAGGGGTGTTACTAGATTTCCCGATGAAGATATCTATTTACATGAATTATTCTTATATATACAATGGTTTGTATCTAAAGCTGTTATGAAGCACAGTAAACAAGTTCCAAATGTAGCTATATGCAGATTTCCCGAAGCTGCAAATATAAATAATTTTACTGCAAATGGTGTATATTTAGCCCTGACTATCTATGGTGGTTACTTGCTTACTGCAGTCTATATGCAATTGGTAAGTTTCATTGTTTCAAATATTATTATAACTAAATCTATCTATATTCCATATATTAGAGTATTATACATGACGTTGAAGGTGGTACTTTAATACAAACTAAATTATTAGGCATAGATGTATGGATGCATTGGTTTGCTAAATTTGTAACGTCTTATATAATTTGCTTTGGTATCAGCCTATTTTTAGTTGTACTTTTCAAGGTAAATAAAATTGATATAAACGAGTTATATATTTTGTACATGTAATTACGATTAAACTACAGTCGCTTTCTATAATAGCTGGAAGACTCTAGTTCAATGTATGGATTATAGTAATCAACGACATAAAAGTTTCCCCTGCCGAAAAAAAGTTTAAAATATTTCTGAGGTAAGGCATGCCTATCATAAGAGGTAACTTAAATCCAGTAAGCTTAACACGATAATGTTTAAAGTATGTATATGTCATTGTAAATGAGTTTCACTTTATAGGGGTTAGAACCCACAACTTAAGGTGTCCTGATATTTAGAGGTTGGCCACTTTAATGAGAGTATTGTGGTGGCTGCCGTTAAAACCCAAACTTACACGGTTAGAATGATGTATTGATTTACTTTGTCGGATATGGGCTTCCATTTTCCATGCGAGTGCTCTCTACCAAAGATGGAACTATATGTATATGTGTAAGTATAATTAGTTCCGGTTTTGATTCCTTGGAATTTCAATGGCGACAATTACCGGCCTTAATGTGGCCTTAAGCTTCCATGGCAGGTAATCACATTAAAAAGTTATGGGCTCTGTTTAAGCAGATAATAGCATTATAGCATTGCATACGAAGTGGTACTAGAACTGAGTGGATATATTCTCACTCCTTCGCTCTTCTTTCTTGTACTTTTATAATATGATTTACTACTGATTTGTGATTTAATTTTTTGAATTATAGCGCTTTTATCTGTTTAGAAAATGGTTTTCAGCTAATGTAGTGAGCAACTGTAGCTTAATCGTGAGTGGTTATAAGGGAGGGTCCTCGAAAAACCCATTATGTTTTTCTACCAAAAATTTTTAATTGTATTTGGAATTTGAAGGGCTTTTTAATATATTAAAATGAAGAAAATTATTATTTATATATAATAATATATTATCCAAATGAAGATCCCCTTTATTAAGAGGATTAATGCTTGAGGGGATCTTCTTTTTATGCTCTTTATGTGCTTAGTCAGCTACTGATGATCATTTTAGTATTAGATTAGTATAACTAAATGGATGAAATTTTTTTAATTTTTTTATTTTATTAAATTGCAGTTTAATTACCGTTCAGACTTGGCAGTTTTAAATTATATTAATACGAAACTATTACTTACATTTTTGATGATACTGAGTGCAGCCATGTTATGTTATGCCTCGGTAACGGTGTCATTCTTTAGAACAAAAGTGCTATTTAAGCTGATCTGCATTACTATTTGGTTGCTGCCAGTTGCTCTTCTTCTTTTTAATCACAGTTTTCATAAAAATCACAACTTTTGGGTACGAATATTGCTATCACTACAACCCACATTAGCTTTACTTTATGGATGTGATTGGATTAGTGATTACGAGGAAAATTATAGCAGATGTGATTGGGATGATATATTCAATTATGCTTCAATGAATGGAAATTATACTTTTTTCTCTGTACTAATGATGATGATTATCTCTTGCATTTTTTACATTTGCTTAACATTATATTTGGAAGACTTTATAAAAAAAACCATTTGGCACCGAATACGGCACATTTATAAGACACGACTTTTCAATTGGAATAGAAATTCGATGCAGTCGCGCGCTAAAATTTTTTCCTATTTTAGTAAACCTGGGCAATTACTTACCGTTTCCCTCGATCAAGTAACTTTTAAGCCATTCAAAAATATTTCAATGGTAGCATATAAAAATGAAATAACCGTATTGCTAGGAAATAATACCAAAAGTCACATTCTCTTAGCATATATAATGGCAGGACTAGTAACGCCTTCATCCGGTAATGTTATGATATTGGATGCGGAAATAGAAACCAAATTCAAATATCTTCGCAAACATATCGGTATTTATGTTCCAGATATGTTTTCATATGAAAATTTAACTGTAAGAGAACATATCCGACTTTATAGTTACTTACGCAATTTAACCTATCATCAGGTGGACGGTGACGTGGAAAAATATATAAGCCTATTGGATTTGTCAAAGTTTGCTGATAAAAAACTATTAAAACTATCAGACGATATAAGATTAAAGGTTTTAATATCTTGCGCTATGTGTGGAAATACTTCGATTATCATATTGGCAGAACCATTCACAACGGCCAGTCCAGCTATTGTTCATGATATAATGGAATTTTTAACATCTGAAAAATATGATCGCACAATTATTGTATTTACGAAATTAAGTTATGTAGTGGAAGCAATAGGTGATCGTGCAGGTATTATTTTCAATGACAACTTAGTTTGCTACGGAGAAACTTATCATTTAAGAGACACGCTCGGATCTGGCTATAACGTGGTAAGCCATATGATAAAAACGTGGTAAGCCATACATATATAAAAAATTACTTCACTTAAGGTAAAACATATATTTTATATATTAGTTTAGTGTTTAAAAAACTTCCACGACAATTGCTACGTAACTTAAATACAGTAATTCTCTCTATAACGCGATAGATTGGTTCCGCGTTATAGGAAAACGCATTATAGGGGTATTCCCGTATACCCTGTACACACACGTGTACAGGTACGCGAAGCTAATTATGAACTGTACAAATCCCCGCGTTATATGAGAGAATACCCGAGTTATACGGGGAATTGAAATCGCGTAATAATAAAACGTGTTATAAGGGTACCCCGTTATAGGGGGGATTACTGTATAGTTATTTAAGCAGATTGATTGTATCTCAAACGTTACGAAGTGACAATGGATTTTAGTAAAATCGGACATACGGAATAACTTTTACATTAAACTACACAATATAGTTTTATTCTTCAGATATTAAGACTTTGATATTGATTACACAAAAAAGGTCTAAGTAATATCGGTATGTAGCGCAGACCAAACTTGCTCATAGTCGAGTTTATCAAAATTCGTTGTTCCAACATGACGACTACATAGCTAAGTAATTTTGTCAAAATCGGTACATGTCGATATAGTTTCGTTCTCCAGATTAGTTATATACACTATATATTTTGGTCTTTAAGGTTTGTGTTAAAATGGAGAATTTTCAAACTGACGATGTTATTCGACTTTTTAAAAAATATTTGCCTTACTCTGCTGCTGAAACTGATACACCAATAGAACTTACATATAACATACCAAATGATTATTTTCACGTTATGGCGGAATTGCTCCGAAATTTGGAGGAAAATGTTCAGCCATTAAGAATAAAAGCAGTTAAGGTATATTATGCGAGTCTGCATGAAGTGTACTTAAATGCAACTGATGAATCCCAGAAACGATATAATCTACAGCGAATGAAAAGTATCTATCCAATAGCAGAACATAGTGCAAGTAAGTTCATTCTTTGTGTACGAGTATATGGGGTGTGATCGAAATGTGATGAGATAATTGATCAAATTTTGTATCCCATATCTGGTTTATCGAGTTTAGTCTTTTTGGTGTATTTGTTGTACTGTCAGTAATGATCATGTTAACTATCAGGCAGCAGTAATTCTTTTGGGTGTATTAACCGATGTTGTTGTCATGAAATTACTTTCATGTTACCGGCTTTTGATTCCCGCGGGCTATATAACCAACAACAATATCTGGTAGTTGTGATGCGTTGTTTGTGTTTGTCATATAAGATACCTAGTAATCTGTTTGGAAATTTTTTTATGAAGCCATACGTCGGATTAAACAGTTTCTGAATTGCAACGAAGGATTTAATATAATGAAGAATTCTTTTGTCGGCATTTCTATGTCACAGCTACGAGTTCATAAGTGGTACAAATGTTCCTCGGAAGATTGAAAATTGTGGGCGGTTACATATATTCTAGCACGTCCACTGTTGATCAGAAAAGTTTTCAATGGAGTGATTGCTAAAAGGTTTGAAATATCAAACGACTTATATGATATGTACAACTTAAATGATGCGATTTATACGTGGGCATACGAATTTTGAGCATAAAATTTCTTTTTCGATCACAACTCATATAAACTAGTAAATTACTACTTGAAATATACTACTACTGATACTTACTACATCTACATAGATAAAAATTTGCGTTAATAATAAGTCTTTACAATCTTCTCCAATTTCAGTTCCCTTGAACTTCAACCAACATCATGCGGTGCAAAAGGGGAAATCAACGTTTTGCAAACAGTTTTATGCGATGTTTTACAAGAACGTTCTATACACATCCAATCATATTTGTACTCATATACTTCTAAGTGTTGTAATGATAACTTTTATGCTAATTTTATATTTTATACCGTTCAGAATGATAGAACCTTTAGTTCCTATGACTTTTAGTTTAACACAGTATCCTGAAGCTTTTATTCTACTAGAATCAAAAGATGTCACAGATGCCTCACAACTTGAATTTCTCAACTTGTACATAGATTATGTTTCATCGTTTGGGGACCGGTACCATTTTGAGATAACGGAATCATTGCCTATTCATAAATATATATTAAAATTATGTGATAAAAAATATGAAGCTGTTAAAAAGCTGTACATAGCGGGACTCACTGTACATAATGATGGTATCATTTGCTGGTTTAACGGTGATTATATACACTCAGCTCCTTTATCTCTCGGTTTGGCATTGACGGCATACCAACGGTAAGTAAAAAGCTTCCATGTAATTTTTCTGATTCAATTCTCTATATAGCGGAGTTTTAGAGAAGCTGATGGTTCAAATAAAGAAATCATTGTTACAAATTATCCACAAAAATATGAGATCGAATCTTTAGTGCAGTATTATAAGACTCGTGTTTCGCAACCAATATTAGTGCTGATTGTAATGGTTTTTGTTTGTCTTATAAGTATATCGAGTGTATCTTTCGTGACATATGAAAGAACTACATATGCCAAGTTAATACAATTCATAAATGGACTACATTTTTGGATCTACTGGGTGTCACATCTCATATGGCAACTGATTTTCTTCTTATTTATACCTATCGTCGTGGTTGCTGTTGTTATTTGCATCTTCTCCACAAAAAGTGATTACTTTTCAGATATGGGTAAATATCTTTACTAACACTAACTGATGAGAACTTACTTATACCTAAATAAACTCTCCTACAGCTGATTTGTTTGTGATTATAATATGTGTTGCAATATATATGTTGCCATTTTTATATTTTTGTACCTTTCATATCCAAGAACAACACATGGTACCTGCTTTAATAATTGCTGCGTTTATTATGGGTAAGTTCAGTTTTTTTTAATAAATTATTGAAATTTTATTGTAAAAACATATAGAAGACTTTAGAACTTCAATACAAGTGCTGGAATATATTTTAACATATACTTATAATAAAAGACATAGTACATTATTAAATATCAAGTAGGCTTTGATGTACCCTAAGACAATACTCGTTAACCTGATTTAGATAGAAAGGTCAAGTTGACTAACAAATTGAAAAGTAGAATTTTAGAACCCATCGAAAAAAAATATAAGATCCTTGATGTTACAACTTAAAAATGTTACAGATGTTAAACCCATCATATAAGCGATATCGATCTCTATCGATCTATGAAAACATCGTTAAATGAGATCTTCTTCCGCTAAATATAATATAGATAATTTGTAGAATGGAGCTACAGAAATTTTGAAACATATCTTAAACACCATTGAACAAGATTTAAGATTTCCAATTCTGATCATATGATTATCAGCTGATTTGTTCTTAAATTTTAGAGCGTATATTATATTTCCACTGCAGTTAAAAGTACTTATATTATAGCGTATTCACACTGTCTCATTTAGGCAGTTTTTCTAATTATAGTATGATTTACAATACAAAGAGGTTTCATATAAATGAGCTCATCATCAATATATCAGCTCATTAAGGCGAAAAATATCGAATGCAACCCTTAAAAATAAATTTCCCTTGTGGGAAATTATCTAAATTTGAATTATGTGTCATATGTTTTTTACGTATAATGTAAACAAACACCTGAGGTAAAGACAAAGGCACTGAACAAGTAAGTATTTAATAAAATCTTCGTTTTTATTAATTTAATATGTAATTAATATATAAAATGTATATAAATGATTTAATATATATGTGTGTGATATATTATTAAGTGAACTCATTATTATGTGAACGTCCATTCATTTATATAAATGAGCAAATGCCTAAATATAACAATGTGAATGTGCTATAAATTATCCCCATTAGCGGATTTAATGAGCAAAACTGTCTAAATGAAACAGGTGGAAACATGGTGTTAGTGCGGCTATTAAACTCACAGATCTTACAGATACAACAGATTCGTGCCTACAATATAAAAACAACTACTTTCACCAGTATTTAAAATACTATATATTATCCTTATTATTTTAAACATTTTAGGCAGTCCAACCATCTTTTACTTATAACTGACTAAATAAAATTTTAATAAATGATCCTGATATATTATTATTAACATGTTTTGTAATATTAGGTATTTTGGATATGTACTTTACTACTTTTCGAAACCATTTGTCTTTCATCCTCAGTATAGTTCCATTTTATGCAGTGCTATCTGCGATAGAAGATTATCACGTTCATAAAAAAGTGCAAGAAGCTTGCACAAATATAACTATAGAAAATTGCAATGGAACTACAAATTGTTGCTGTAAGATCTAATACTTTATCTGATTATAGTTTTAAATACCTTCATAATTATTAAATTCTACAGATTCAAAATATAGTTGGGGAACATCAGGAAGGTTAGATGAATTGGCCTTCATGCTGTTTTTCGGAGTATTTTTCTTCAATTGGGTTGTGCTCACGGACAGTGGGTTTATGAACGAAGTACTGCACTGGGTACGAGACGTGCACAGGTGAGTATAAGTGGCAACCACTTACCTAAATGAATAAGCAATAACAAACTATTTGGAAGTGAATACAACATAAATAAGGTAGCACCTGATGAATCAGTTGAGGATGAAATTACACGAGTGGACAATATGACTGATGCGGATATGCAGCAGCAGACAATCGTTGTTAATCACGTAACTAAAGTGGAGCAAGATCAAAAATTTGTTGTGAACGACGTGACATTTGCGATCGAAAAGTAAGTATTTTTTCCGAAGTTTTTATTCTTTGATCTTTTCAATTAAAAATGCTTCGCTTCTGCTCTTAGAGAAGAATCTTTCGGTGTTGTCGGTTTATATGGGTCTGGAAAAAACGCTTTATTAAATGTTATTGCAGGTGTAACCCCACCTACAGTTGGCGTTGTCCGAATCAACAATAAAAATATGAATGCGTTTTTTATAAAAGAAATTTATTCTGACATTGATTATCTGGCACGAAAGAATGCATTGTTTGAAGAGTTCACAGGTTATCAAAACTTGAAATTGCATTTCCTAATAAATGGTATTGAAAATATAAATGATGTTTGTGAAATACTACTGGGTTCATTTTATTTAACTGATGTTGCATCGACGAAAGTGAAACACTACACTACAATGAATAAATACATGTTACGTATGGCGGTAGGTTGCATTAGAAGAAAGTCTATAGTATTAATGGATAATCCTATAAGCAACACCGATCCTCCAACAACAATCATGTTATGGAGACTTATCAATATAATGCGATCGACTGGTATGACAATATTGTTGACAACTAATAGTATGACAGATTGTAATATGTGCTGCACACGATTTGCCATCTTATCTGGTGGTGAAATGAAGTTCATTGGGACCAAGGAAGAATTACTAGAAAGGAGTGAAGATGGATATATTCTTGAAATTATTATTAATAATGATCGCTCGTAAGTCTATAGCATATACATTTGTAATATATTTGTATATTACTAAGATATTACCACTGTTAGACTTAGTTTCGGTTTAGGACGTGTGCGAGTTAGGCTAAGTTGCGTTCTAAATGAGAGAAATTCTAAGTTCTGCCGATAATGTAGTGATGTGTCGATACGTGTTAATAAATAGCTAAATGTGTGCAGTGCAAAAAATCCCAAAAAATCTCCCATTTGGTTTAGCATCAACTTAGCCTAACTCGCACACGTCCTATAATCACAGTCATATGAATGTTCATGACTGTCTCTCTGACTGAACTAATTGAAATAATTTTATACCGTAGTAATAGATTACGATAGCTGGATACATAAGACTGATTTCACTGACTAAAACTGGTTATTTTCTATCCCTCTACTAGTCTATTATGTTAACTTGTAATTTTTTTGCTCCAGATCTGACGTTTCAATTATAAGTAGTGAAGAGAGTATTAAGAAAGTGGAATTAAATGATTTTATGCAGTCAAGATTTCAAAATCCAAAATTAATGTAAGTGTATTTTTAATATAATTTTTAAAAAATAAATAATAATATTTGTAATATAAAATGTAATTCTAAATATTAGATTGATATGTTTCCCACGGTTCAAGTTTTTTATACCACGTAGAAATAAACTATGGAAAACCTTCAAACTTATGGAGAAACATAAAACCGAATTGTCTATTGTCAGTTACTTCGTAACTGAGAAGGATTTTCAAACAATTTTAGTGGAATTTTCAAAATGATAAAATTTTTATTAATAATTTTTATATATTTTTAAAAAAATAAATTTTATTTAACAAAATGTAAGTAAAGAACGTCACTAGAAATTTTTACTAAATTTGTTATATCCGAGTATAGCGGTTCAAGCAAGCGTTGATAATTTAAATCTGCTTTCGATGCTATTTGAATAAGTAATTATTAATTGTAACTGACAACTCTCTCTCTCTCTCTCTCTCTCTCTCTCTCTCTCTTTCTTTCTCTTTCTCTCTCTCTCTCTCTCTCTCTCTCTACCACAAATTCGGGTTATATAAATATAATGTAAGCTAGAATGAGCTTAAAATCTGCTCTGCAAAATGCAACTCAAGACTTGTTTCTTTTTTCATCTACTATTTTAACCCCTCCACACAGATAGTTTTTCTAATACCGACAATATTTCATCTGCTTGTATTCGATCTATTACGGATTATTGGAACAGACGGTGTTTCTACAACTATTGCAAATATTACTCTTTTTGTACTCAAGGTAAGACTTGAATGTATTACTTTTTTTATTCTTAATACTGTTTGCAATACTACTTAAAAGTATTTAAAAATGTGTTTACACTATGATTAAGTCTACTTAAATATTTTCTATCTCTTTTGTGTATACCAATCAATGGGAGGATTATTTTTTTAATTAATAAATGCTCCATTGTTTCACATAAAATAAAAAATAATCTCTCGAAATAATCTCAAAAATAATAATATATATATAAAATGTACAATATATACTATTGAAATATTAACACATAATTTATAGTTAAATTGAATAAATGTTTTTTTTATTACTTAAAAAAAAATATTAATAATAAAGTAACTTTTTATAAATTACATAAATCGTTTATTACTTATATATTATATTATATATAATATAAAAAATTTATTTTTAGTAGAAAACTTTTAATATTATTAAATTCTTGGTTGAATTTTAATTTTATTTGTACTGTACACATAATTTCTTAAACATGCGGTAAAATGTTATTATTTTTAAAATAATTTCTCGATAGATAGCGCTGCAATAATATTTTATATTTGTACTGTGACATCTTGCTCATATATCCCATATGGTCTAGTGGCTAGGATATCTGGCTTTCACCCAGAAGGCCCGGGTTCGATTCCCGGTATGGGAAATTTTTTTGGTAATTTTTTATTTTTTTTTTTTGAAAATTAATTGTTTCACATTTTTGAATAAAAATTTTTTTTAAAATACAATTATGTTATATTCATGCTAGGTTTAAAAAATTTGTGGAGTTTTCGGAGAAAACCAATATTGCTTTATCACATAATTTGTATTTATAAAAAAATAAACGCTGCTCTTCGAGAACAATAAATAGGTCTATTTTGGAGTGATTGAGAGTAGAAAAGATAATTTGAGGGTATACGTTTATGACTATGATAGCGTTTCAAATTTTGTTGAAATTGGACAAATAATTACCAGATGAAGTTAAAAGTGATAAGTAAATATGATTTCCCCAATTTGTTTACGGGTTTCTTGTTAAATTTTTCAATATATTCGCACTATTTAATTTAAACTAAAAATCTAAGAATAAAAATATTTTGATTCGAAACATGTTTTTGCCATCGTCCAGATGTCCCAGCCATTCTTACATTGTTTGTAAGATTCCGTTCCGGAAATTTCAATGTCTAAAAACCAACTCGCTCACTGAAACACTCACTAAAAAAGTTGATTGAATCTTACAACTGATGAAGCGAACCTGTTACGTTAGCTGTCAGAAGATAACGGGGTCTTTAAATCAATTACATGAAAATTTGGTACCATTTAAAAATATTGTACTCAGCAAAGACGATTAGATACCACATGAATTCAGCCAAAGCAATTCGTTTGACCAAATTACAATCAGGGAAGCACTACTAAACCACAACGAAATTAAACCATTTTTGAAGCAAATTATTATTGGCTAAAAAAATTGATCAAATACTAGAATACCCAACGCAAACAATCATAGCCACAAGTCGATGGCCCTGCACAAAAGACTCCAAACTTTGAATTGATTACAAACAAGGCTATATTGAGTGAATATTGAGTGAAATTGTCTACAATCATTATTCATTTTCTTTATTTGAACATAACAACCCATTACCGAGTTTCGGTCTGACGCAGCATGTCACTTCAGTTGCCTGTACTATTAACGCGTCGTCTCCAGTCCTGAACATTAAGACCAGTTACTACTCCATCTACTTGATCAGTCACCCAGAAACACGGTCTATCTCTACGCCTTCTTCCTGCTAACCACCACTATAAACATCTTTTGCGCTAGAACGCCTTTATCCATTTTCACAGCATGACCAAGCCAAGACAGCATATTATTCCATGCGATGTGGTGGTCTTTGTCAACTTGTAGATGACCAAAAATCTTGCTAAGAACATTTCCTTCGAAAACTCCCAGTACTGCTTCATCACTTTGTGATAAATTCCATGCTTCTGTGAAAGTATAGCCGCCAGCCACCAGCTTGTCGTCCACACATTTCTACCAGTAGATAACACATTACTACCTGTAACTTATATACTGTTTTGTCCTCCTACACCACTAAACCTACTTTTGTACATGCCTTTTCGTTAGCAGCAAAGGCAGCTGTAACATAGAGCTTGCTACGTCCAATTATATCAGTATCGTTGACGTAAACAAGGAGGTAGATCCATTGTTCCATTACGATGAACACTTGTCCTGTGCATGATCATTTCCATAACGAAATTGAGATCATATTATAAAGGGTTTCCTTGTCTCAAGCCTCGCACGGTATCATACAGTTCAGAGAGACTTCATCCTACCTTGATGGTAGATTTGGAATTTGGTATGTAGGCATTGTCTATTAATGAAGAGAGTTCATCGGTTAATTCGGTGCTATACTGTTCACAAATCGATCATTTGAATAAGACAATCTAAGAAAAGCGGTTAGAATTGATCCATAGAAAATGTAGTGCTGCTCAACATAATAATGTCAGTAATGTCACACATTTTTGATGACTTTGAACAAATAAAAGGTATTGGTTGGAAGGATTTGATACTGTACCGTATAGTCCGTGTCTTACACCGTTTGAATACGATTTGTTTCGACTTCTGCAAAACTCTCTTCTTGATAAAGAATTCGCTGAGCGAAGAGCTGCTAAAACACACTTGAGCAAACCTCTTTTGATAATAAGAGGTTTGGTCGATCGAGGCCGACCGAGATGTCCTTGAAAAGTACTTTATCGACGAAGAACTTTAAGAGTTAATAACTTTAACTCGATAATACAGAAATTGCCCAACCGAGGACGCTTTGAAGACTACTTGGTTAAGTTTTTCATCGATAAACCACACCAGTTCTTCATCGATGTATTTAACAAACTATTCGATAAATGGCAAGAGGTCATATAATATTAATGGTCAATATATACTTGACTAAAATTGATTTTCAATAAAAAAAATTTGAGTTATAAATTGTGACGTACCAAAAAAATTTGTATACTTTTTTTATCACCAAATAATTAAAATTTTCATTTAGAACTTTACAATATTAGGAAAGAGAATATTAATTAGATGGAAACCTGTTGCAAATTAATTTCATTTAATTGCTTCAATTCTTATGTCATCCGTAAATGTTGCTTAAGCACATTTTTTCCTTAACCTACGATGGCTGCAAGAACAAGTTCCGGAGGCAAAACAACACCATTTGTTACTATTTGTTCCAGTTTTCGTTGTCATATTTATGCTGCATAAGATTAAGAATTCTTTTCATTAAGAACTCAAAGCACGTACGTTTACATAAGGCCAAATGATGAAGAACGGCTTAAATTTCCTTCACATCAGTTATGGTCAATCCAAGTGCCAACTTGGCGATAACTTGAGACTGCACATGAGAAAATTGTAACAATTAAGATGATACAGTCTTAGCAAAATGTTTTCATATGACAAAAGTAGGTTGGATGCAATTATGAGAACCGTATGTTGACAAAATAAAGGCGATACGCTATATAAATCTTCTTCTCAAAAGAAGCGCTCCGCGTAAATCAAAAATGTGTCCGTAAACAAGTTTCATATTCATATTCTTCGGATTCTTTTTTAAACCGAGATTTCCTACAAGTCTTGTAAATTTTAGTATCCTTAAGACTTCAGAACAAAAGAAAAGAAAATTTTTTACTAAATTTTTCCAAAATTAATATTTTTCACAACCATCAATCCTACTGACCTACAGTCTTAGTTTCGAGCTGTAATTATGGAAATTATTTGAGAGAATTCTTGCTATCACAAAATATTTTTTCTTCTTTCACTTTAAGTGCCTTTGACAAGTGCTCATCAGTCGTTGCTGTATTCTTTCTTCGGATGGAGCTTTTATGTCATTAGAATTCACGCACAGCACACACAAGCCATTGCAGTACCCTGACAATCGTTATGCTTGATCTCAGATGACGACTATTAAGACGCGTTCTTCTTGATGCCGGCAATGAGGAAATTTGCTTGCAATTACTTTGTGGCTCATACTTCGGGCGATGCTTATTTCACGTTGTGAAAATGAAGAATTGGTCCGGAAAATTTTTATTTTTTTATGTGATAAAGTTGTTAAGAAAGAATTACTAAAACTGAAAAGAGTGCGCCATAGAAGCCATAAAACACTTCAAGGCAATTCAGCTATTAAATTAATTACGAAAATTGCAATGCTTTAAAAGACATCTTTTTTGGGCAATAATACATTAGAGACCAAATGTGATATAAATTCCAGCTAACTTTATCGGAATCCATAAAATTTTTATTAGTACGAATTCAGCTGTTCATCCATTTCTAATCTGTCCCAAAATTTTATTTTGCTCATAAACACAGATTTTTAGATTTTTTGCCTAGTAATAATATTTTGAAAATAGAAGAACTTTAGTCAGTTCGTTTCTATAAAATCACCATAAAAAATCAAAGTTGAAAGCAAACAATCGTAACTCTTCAACGATTACGGCATGAAATATTTGTTTATCTTTTTGGATTAATCGAAGATTTTAGATTTTACTCCTAGATATTTGGGTTTCGGATAAAAAAGCTCAAGAATAGTAATAAATTTTGTTTCTTTATTTTAAGAGAAACGAATTTTGTCTTCAATTCATTAAGTTTGCTACGAATAAATAGATAGATAGATAAACTCAATTCCTTCACTTCCATCCCTCATCTCAAAAACAGCAAATTTTTAAAAATTTCCAAAAACAGAATTATTCTACAGGATGCTATTAATATTTACAAAATATTATTCTTCCCCTTTTGAGAGAGAAATTAGGAGGTTTGAAAAAAGATGTCTGAGGCAAAATATCTTATTAATCCTTTAAAACTTCTATTTTAAAACTTTAGAGTTGTAATTATTATTAAATATTATAATATTATATCTAGCATTGCTAAGGAGAACCTGGGTAGGTATAGATTCTGGACTGATCGCAAGATTAATAAGCATTGGAACCCAATAATGGATTAAGTTGCAGGTAGCTATAGCTTCAGATGCTTCAGTCAT